TGGTTCTCTGGAAAGTGCTACTTTTCTGATTTTCCTGTGCTTTGCTATTTTTTTCCAAGTAATAACCCGTTCTTTCTTTTATACAGTGTAGAAGAGATATTTTTTGCAAATATAGAAGAAGTTAAAAAAAGTAGAGAAAAGAAACTCTAAAAGAAACAGACAGAAATTAAGCGTGTAAGCAGGGCATAAAAATAATAGAGAATACTGCTATACTGAGCGCACTGAAGTATAAATAATCATGATTTTGTGCTCGAATACAATTTAAACTTTAATTGATGTGCCCAAAAGGGGACGACGAGCTAGTCTGGAGATACTAGTCTAGAATAGAGAGTGTAGTTGTCAAGGAAGTTTTATTATCGTAATCCTGCGGATGTCTTTGGTGACTTTGACCTTTTGTGTACTTGTTGGATGTATTTCTTCTTTCTGTCATTTGCCTCCCTTTTGAATTGTTCTTACTATTTTATAGTCAGTTTCTGATATACGAGGAATCGTCCGGAAGTTGCATTTATCATTGATGCACTTTGGTCACTGAATTAATAAAAGTGGGAATTTTACCACTTTAATTATTTTTCTTGTAGAATTACTAAATAATTTATTGCAAGAACAAAATGATCTGGCAACCCTCATTACTGCCCTGCAGTTTGCAATTAATTAAACCAAATCTTTAAAATATGCAGGTTTGTTAGGGTATAAATTCCAAAAACCCGATATAGCCCGAATAAATTTACATAAAACGTAAAAAGCTTTCAATTAGAGTGGGTTCAGTAAAATAAAAGCAAATTATTAACAATTATACAAAATATTTAACAAAAAAATATTTGAAGATTATAATACTAAGATATGAGAACTCGAATAAGAAATGGAACATGTAGATATGTATATGTGAACAACAGAAAAGAGAAAACCAGTACAATGCCATGTACTAGACGTGCTTCTATTGGATCAGTAACAAAGATGGTTCTTATAGCTGCACTTCTAGCTATGCAAAATGTCTTTGGGTTTATAGAAATAGAAGATGCTTCAGAGGTGCAAAAAGCAGTAGTATGCAAAATTGAAGGGGTGGACTATATACCTCGACCAGATGGGTCTCTTAGCCCAATCATGCTATATTTAGGCAAAAAATCTAATGACATTTGTTGCTACCGGGCTCTTTCTTCAAATATAAATTCGCATATTATTGTATCAGACAAAGAAAACGAAGACAAACATAAAAGAGATACAGCCAAAGACACAGTGTATGCAGAAAGTGCATCTGGGGGCAAATTGGAAGAAAGCACTGCAAGCCACTTTAGTGCAATGACTAATATGATTCCCTTCCGCTCGAAAACGTCAGAAATTACTCTTCAAGAAGATGATAAAGACCTATTTACTCTATTTCTGAATAGCGATTTGGTAAAGAGCTATGCTCATAGAATTGTCATTGCGCTACTGCTGAAGGTAGAGGGAGTAAATGTCCCGCTGTTTCTTGAGAAAGACAAAGACACAACCACAAAGCTCGTGTGGAGGTGGAGAGATCAGAAAAAAGAGTTCTTTTCTATTAACATATTAGACGCTGCGAAAGAGATACTAAAAAGACGTGGCCAAGGAGAAGAAGAAAGCTCTGTCTACAAAAAAAACATAGTAAAAACTATTCAGTATTTTATTAGCGTAGATGAAAATAAAATAGCCAAAAAGAATCCAGTGGAAAGAGAGAACTTGCATGATAAAACAAAATACTGGAAAGATGAGTATATGAACAGTAGAAACTGGCTTATACAAGTATATATATATTGCTACATCCGCACTAAAGAGGATGCAATTAAATTTAACAAAGAGGTATACGCGGTACTGAGCGAGTGTATGCAACAGAATCAGAAAAGTTTCTCAATTGTGGAAAGCCAGGAGCAGAAGTTCTTTAAAAAATGCTTTATGCCTAAGAATACAGAGTCAAAGGCACTTAGCTATTGGGAAAAGTTAAAGAGTCTGAATGATATTGATATAAACCCTGAGCCAGTTCAACTGCTTCCCTTTACAAACTCTAGACATCTTCCTACTAGAAAAATGGTAGAGATATCTATTCAAGGGAATTTACATTTAAAGACAGAGGTGTTCGCATCTGATATAGAGTCTGCGCTGCTTGGCCTATTCTGCTGCTTTGTATATGATTCAAAGGAGAATAAATACAATCTTGACCATATGCCTTTGCTGATGAAAGAGATAAAAGATCTTTTTCCTATGCCATTCAACAGTAATAAGAGTTTTTCGGATAAAGAATGCGAACTGGCAATAGATTCAGAATGCATGCATCCGGGAAATAAAATACCAAAAAAGATCTGTGAAGAATGGGCGAAAATAATTAGAATAATAGTAGAGAATGAAGACACGATAAGTTGCAAAACCAATACAGATGGCACTAGGGCGATCAAGTCTGATATTTGTAATTTTTTCATTATATTTCTAAAACTTATAAATAGTTATGATTGTAGCAATAAAAAAGTAATAGAAGATATTAGAAAAGATATAATGGGTATAGGCAAGGAAAAAGACTTGAAAAAACAAAAGATTTTATATAGCAATTTTAAAGACAAAATCCAAAGCTATATATCAGAATTGTTTTCATTTTTTTCAAGAAACCACACAGCAAGTAAAGACATATACGAGTGGTATGAAAAAACTCCTTCCAATATGAAAAAAGAAAAATTATTTGTAAATTTCATCCCAACTATTATTCAAGAAAACCACGCCGAGTATTATTTAATTGGGACTTTGGAGATATACTATGCATACGAGAGACAGGCACAGCCCATAATCCTTCAGTTAACAACCTTAAAAAAAGCTTTTCTGGCGCTTGGCGAACCAATTATAAAACTCGATAAATCTATAAAGAAGGAAATAGACAACTTAAAGTTAACAATAGGCGAGATAGAGCATGACACCTATCCAGAATATATTATTTCGATCTATATCCAGAGTATATGGGTGCATAGCTCAGATTATATAATTATAGACTCTCATATAAACAGAGACAATGAACATATATCGACAAAACCCGCATCCTTTCAGCCATGGTATCATAACAGTATATGTATAGATGAGCTGCTAAATGGCATGGAGAAACAAATATCAAGCCATACGCAAACCAAGAAATACAATATTTTCAATGCACGGGTTGGGTATAACCTGATTGGAAATATGCAATTACACACTAGAAGGCTTTTACTATTCCTGATTGTCTACATAGGATTAAAACACACTCCATCCGATATAGCGTTGATTAATTCATTTTATACTATTGCTAATAACAATATTAAAAAGCGCATGGCTGCTGTAGGGCTAGATTATATGGAAAAGGTACTTGAAAATCTTCTAATAATCAATGCGGATCTAGATATTGCAAATGTAATCGCAGCGTATGCTCAGATATATGGGGATTGTAACCCAGAGTGCCTATGCGTTCTATTTAAAAGGTTGCTCTCGAAAGGCATAGATACAGATAAGATACTTAAATACGTTAATAAGTATAGCACTATTGTTGAAAAAGAGCCCTCCTTAAAAAAGAGTCTATAGAGGCTTGCTAAGCTATATTTTAAATTATTTTAATAAACCTAAGCTAATGAATAAGCTTTTTACACTTCTATATCTACTCAGCAGTAAATAATTAACAACGCAGCAGTGTATAAAGCTAGCCAAATGTTCTGCAACATAATTCTAGCCACTCCTAGTTAGTACACCCTTAAGTACTATATTTTTAAACAGCGTATTTATACAGGTACATACAAGAAGTATTAATGCATATTTTTAAACTACTTTATTTATTAAAGCTTTCTTATGCATACTGAGGTTGACTAGGCAAGTTTAGAATTTATGCGAACTTATTAGCACTCAACTTTACTGTCTTCAACACACAATATGGATTTTATCTCTTCAAACAGTTCTGATAGATCTATATCTATACCCCATTTAGAAGAACAGTTCAGAATATTATTTTTTTCTGTCTCTGCTATGTCAATTAAGTCACAGCAAGATTCTACTACAGTAGGAAACTTCTTAGGATTATTTTTTTTCTATGCAGCAAATAAACCATAGCAAGAACAGGTTACTATGCTTCTCATAATCGGCAATTAGGTGCTCTTTCTCTGTTTTCTGCATATCCATAACAAATTTAGTAATATAGTCTGTATTATTTTCATTCAGTGTTAAGATCTTTATAAGTAAAAATCTTTTTTCCTCACAGAGCTTTTTAACAAATGACTCCAAACTCGAATAGTAGCTATCCTCCAGGCACGTTTCTCGGAATTTAATCATTAAGTCCGTGATTATATTAGCATATCTTCTATGAGATATATATTTTGCATCATTTGCTAATTCTAATACATGTTTTAATACAGTTATAAAACGTGTAGGGATTTCTTTATATTCATCCATGTTTATGGATGTATTTGGATAGCACTTGTCTGCTATCCCCAAGCTATGCATTATAAGCACATCAGTTTTAAAAGTACTAAAAGAATAGCAAGAATTTTTCATAATATTATCTGCTAAACATCCAAGAGGATGGGTTTTTTCAAAACCTTGGTCTTTTGCGAATAGAAGTAATGCAAATAGAATCATTCTTTTATCCACACTGATATAAATTTGTGGTTCAAGCAGAAGCGTGTTAATACTCTCGCACCAGCCGGCATAGCTAAGCTTGAGCTGCTTCTGTTCATCCAAATTAGAATTTTTCTTACATTTTTCTTTGTTTGTTCGTTGTAACTGCATTTCTTTATCTATATATAATCCAACTTTCTCTATAATAGACAATTCCTTCTTCTCTTGATCTCCCTTCTTTTCCTTCGATTTTAAATTGTTTGGCATTTTTCTGAATCTAGAAATGTCAAAACTAGTTTTCCATTTCAGTTCTTTATTATTATTAGAATAATAAGGACAGATATTAAATTCATAGTGATAGAAACGGACTTGTTTGAGGTACTTGCCATATTTATCAATGGGAGTATAAGATATTCCTAGGCGTCCAAATACATCACTACAACCATCTTTAAAAGACATTTTAGAGTTGATGGATGTCTGAACACTAACATCATGACTTAATGCAATTTTCTTAATTAACTCAGCCATATATGCGCTTATCATATTCTCAAGTCCTTCCTTCTTTTCTTTCTCTATTTTATTAGAGTCATCTACGGAACCATTAATGTTCATATCATCCACCCTTCTTCTAATCTCATCTATCTTACTTAAGTCACATATACCTGCTATCTTTGAAAATCCATATAGTATATTTATCAATCCTGGCATAAGTTTTTTTCCGTCTATCCACATATATTGTGTTTCCTGGTTATTTTCTCCGAACATTATATCTTTCCAGTCTTGGTGCATTCTCTTTAACAATGCCTTGTCTATAGGGGTGCACATGTACTTTCTGAAAAAGCCTTTCAGCTCCTTAGAGACAGACTCTATGTGATCAACTGTGTATATATTATCAATCGCGCTATATGCAGCGGTGCAGAACAGGCCAAGTAGCGCAGTCTCACAATAGTTAGCCTCGCTCATATTACTACTCATACTCTCTTCGCCGAGAAGGTGATCTTCAATTGGTTTGAGACATAGATTATAAATCCTTCGGGATATATAATCATTGTATAGAGACCTTTTTTTTAAATGTGCTACATCTATTCTTCTTTTTTCAATTGAAATATATTTCTTTGGTATATTGCATTTGGCATTCACATTCTTTTCTTGCTCTGCAGTTTCGTTATCAGGCTGTTTATCTTCTGGTTTGACTCCTCTATCCTCCATATACAAACTTAGAAGATTATTCACGGCCTCTTCTACACGATTTTCTCTTGAAACTTCCTCTTTCTCCTCTATAAACTCGTTTAGTAGATCATGCACCATTTGAATGAATAAAATCATCTCATCTGTATTCTTTATGCAGTGGTGTATATACGCTTGTATAAGGAAGCTAGGGCTGTTTAAAAACTCGTTATCCACAAGCTTTCTACAGAAAAATAGCTGTAGAGTGGAACTCTCTTTTTTGGAAACTGTTTTTTCTCTGCTTTCTATAAAAAAGTTTATAACATCAATTGCCTTTTCTTGCAATACCTCTTTATGCACATCTGTGGATTTTTCCTTATATTTACTGATGTTAGCCATAAAAACCATATTGATTCTGAAGTGCTCTTCTTGGCCATTTTCCTTCTTAAGAACCAGATCAGTTCTTTTCTCATCTTTATTAACTTCCAGTGGCACATACACTCCCTCTGCAAGCAGTAGCAGCGAGGCAAGTATTTTGTGCTTATGCTCTTTTACAGAAGTGCTGTTAATAAATACATAGAAAGATTCAACATTTTCTGAATGTATTGACGCAAATCCATCAAGCGAGGGGAACAGCTCAAGAAGCGTGTTAAAGTATCCTTTCTTGTATCTGAGCAAGCTACCTTCATATGGAAGGCTATTGCGTAATCTATCCTGGCTGATGTTTCGTGTGTGTTTGTAGATAGAATCCTTTGGTTTGTGCTTATCTGAGTTTTCTTCATTGCCCGTCTCTATATTTTTAGAGTCTTTTTTGAGAACTTCTATAGAGTGCTCTAGATGTATCTCAGGCGACAAAAACCTCTTCCTAGTCATAAACCCAATATTTCTAGTTATTTCTACTACTGAGAATTTCTCTCCACCTTGACTGCCTTCTTCTGTTTCTTCAGAAATAGCAGCAGCTTTTATTTGGACATTTCTTAGCCCATCTACTGTCAACACTCTGTCCCACACATGGCACAGTATAGCTACTCCAATGAGCATGTATATCTTTGCTCTGCAGATAGCTCTTTCCTTTTTCTCTTGTCTTATCTTGTGAGTTCTTAAGTCTTCTGTTGCTACTTCTTTACTCTCTAATAGCTGGTTCTTTCTCTTCGAAAGATTAGACTTCATTATACTAAATATTTTGTTTTTTACTTTTCGTTGTCTATTTATAGACCATAAAACTAGCAATTTATCAGTATTCTGTGCTTATAATTAAAATTAATATACTTTTAATTAAAAGTATTCCCGAATTAACTCTAATTAATTTAATTTTAGCAGAAGAAAACAAAGCCTCTTATATTCTAGTAGTCTACAACGAAATCTTGGAAGGCAAAGACCAGCATACATCTGCATTTCTAACTCTGGGAAAGAACAGTTTACTATTGTGATAAAAGCCTTCTCTTTTGCTCTTTGATAGACCAAGTCTTGCTCTATGTCTAAGCTACGAAGCTCAGCTTTAAGCATCTTAGAACCAACTTCTTTATTCTGCATGCTTCTGCTGTAGCAAGGAAGTATGTATTAAAATGCACAAGCAGCAATAGTAGCTGTAGAACAACACAATACAAGAATGTGAATTACTGGCTGTTTAAATTAAAATTAATTAATTACTAACATACTCTCTCTTTTGTTTATATTTTGCTTGTTAATTAACTCATATTTCTATTTCTGTCTATATTTTGTTTTTTAATAATTGCTTATTACCAATAAATTAATTGCTAGTAGTCTATAAATAGAGAAAAAGAAATAAATTTTAACTAAGTTTAGCATGACCAAGTCTAATACTTCAAAGAGGAAGAATTGACACTTACAATTATTTTCACTGGTTCTAACTATTTCCCAACCCCCTTCGAGTACTCTACTTGTTCTGTCCTTACTAAACACTTCAGTAGTCAATTCGCACACATTCTTCTAAATATTCCTGAAATAGTCCCAGATATAATTCAAGAAATAAATTTAAGTATAAATACATAAAAGAAGCTGTCATTGCGGAAAGAAAAAAAAGAGCAATGAGAGAAAAATGCAATGCAGCAAGAGCCTGCCATAAAGCAAAGAAACAAAATAGCATGGGTATGCTCTATGCAGTCAAATAAGTAATATAATCCTAACATGTTAAATAACAATGCATATATCCTCTTTTAAAAATTCCTCTGAATGATTTAATGTATAGTGCCTATTTTATTCTAGAGAATACTGCAGAAAATCTTGCAAGAAATGCAAATTCTGAAATGAAACTCTTTAGCTGCAGATGTCCAGAAAGATAAAATATTTAAAGAATGTATAGAGCTCACAATGCATGGGCTATTGCAGTTTATTCAGAAATTTGAATGCTTATGCATTATACAGCCACATTTTATACTAGTTTTCCAGTGGGTTAATAACTTCTTAGATGTTTCCATATCTTGCTTCGCAACGTGCGTCTTTGTTCTTGCTATTTTCAGTAGGCTATTCATATACATAATGGCTGTTTTTATTAGAAATATCGTAGAATTGCACCTCTGCATTTAGTTAGAGTATATTTCTTTGACATAGTACTCGCTATGCTTATCCCAATAGGCGAATACTTACTTAAAAGCATATTTACTATAGCTATATTTTTACATACCTTCTCTATACCCTCTAGTACTATGCTGTATAGGCAATTGCAAGCATGTAGTCTTTCTTTCATTTTTGAAAGATAATTCTTCAATTCAGTGTACACCTTTGCATTGCATCTGTATGACTTTGCAGGAAGACAAAAATACTTCATTTTATTCCTTAGATACCTAGAAAAATGCTACTGGAGGATCATACTGTTTTCTGCTTTTATTTAAATCTGGATGCTTTCTATTTTCTGTGAAAGCCTGTTAATTGCCAGCTGAATTGACTGCAGAACATTTGGCTTGCTTCTTTCAATTAAAAAACGCACTCTTTCCTCTAAGGTGGCTAGACTCTGCTCTGCAGCTCGCATTTCTGCCTTTATTATTCCAGAGATGTAGCCCTTCCTTTGGTCCTGCTCCTTCTGGGTGACTTCCCGTACATAGTCACGAATGTCCTCTAGATGGGTTAGTTTCTCCTGCACTTTGCATCTGACTTCATCTGTCCGCATGCCAACCATTTCCAGCTCGTTTGAGATTCCCTTGTACTCTATTTCATCAACAAGAGGAATCACCTGCTCCTTTGCCTTTCTCTTGTACTTTGTGCTGGCCGTATATATGTTTACTATTCGGGTTCTGAGCTCTTGGGGCACCTCTAAGTATTTGCTGCGGTATGTCACGGAGTCGCTCATTTTATGAATTCCTGCAAAATAATTTTTGTATGTTGCGGTCTCTGCTTATTGTGGGAAGAAACTTTCGGCCAATTTCCCCGTTCCTGTCAGTCTTCCTGGTGGAGGAGAAGGGCTTTACAACAAAGGAAATCGCAGACAGAATTATTCCGTGGTGGCTTTATTCTATGCTTGTCTTTTCCTTGATACTTTCCTGGATTGCTAATAAACTCGGACTATTATGGACAATTATTAGTTCAGTCATTTCTGAAATTGCTGCATACTTTATTCTAATAAGAATGAAAAACAAATCTATCATTAGCACAATCCTCATTGAGGTCTTTATGGCATATAGAAACAGCACACTTGTTGCGGATAAAAGATTCTACTCAGAAAACGACCAAGGCATGAGCGTGCAGTACAGCACAATTAGAAAGATAACTGGGATTCTTTCTAGCTTTATCTCGCAAAATATGTACTACATCTCTGGAAATAGCTTATCTGCTGTCTATCTGACCATATTCTCGCAAATCCTTGTACTCTTCTGCATTCTGGGAATATATCAAGACGGGGTTTTGCCAATTGACAGTGAGGATGTCCAAAAGGAGATAACCATCAGTGCAAGCCTTCTTTCAAAGATATTCTCATATACAGGAGCATTTACGCTTAGTGTGTGCTTTAGAATATACATTGATTTAATTCTAATTGAAAGATCAGGGGATACAGAGAGCCACTCCGGCATTATTGGAGTTATACTAGAAAGAATATCAGGTATATTCTACTACATATCGTACGGACTGGTTAAGATACTCTCCCTGGTGACGTCTTCTGTAAAGATACAGGAGCACAAGAACAAGCATAAGCCAGTCCATGGTTACCTGGAGGGAATAGCGCGTGTTTTGGCAGTGTGCCTGGCAATTCCCTTGGTGATTTACACGGGAAACTCAAAGAGAAACACAGAAAGCCTGATGGTTGTCTCCTGGGCTCTGCAGATTCTGGGGGTGCATGCATTAAAAAAGACAAAGAACATGGTTGGGGGATATTTTGCATATCTTCTGTCAGTTATTGGCACAAATATTACTCTCTACATCTCCTATAATGAAATAAACAAAGAAACGGACAGGGAGATACTTGGAATTATGTCGTACATTGGAGGCACCTCAGCTGCAGCCCATACAATAATCGATGTAATATCACGGCGCAACAAGATGGCGCCCCAGGCCAGATTTAATATATATGCATACCTAGGGTGCACATTGTTCGCGTGTGCAGGAATGCTTTCAATCTTCTCGCTTTACAGGCAATAGATGTATTTTGTATCATTTTAATATTTAGATCAATAAAAATAACGTATATAGTATGCTTGTTAAGTGGCGTGTAGGTTAGGCTTAAGATCTTTTAAGTAGCTGCCAAGTTATTTATATTCTCTTACGGATTTTCATCCAAATTCTCTCTTCATCTTGAAATATGCATATTCATTTTTTAAAATCCAGCACTATTATGAGTTCTGCCTTAAAGACATTTAATTTCATCCTACTATACCCCAAGATAACAGATAAATTGTTTCATACATCTAATCATATGGCGTGACTGCACTGCACATGAATATTCAAGCAAATTTAGACATGTCAGTGGGCATAGCCAGAATATAATTTGAAGCCACACAAAGACACCAGAGAACACGAAATGCCCAAATATGCCCCTTCTCAGGATTAAATTGCGTCTTGAAACTGCAGTCTTTAAATAATTTTCGCTATATAATTAGAAATTCAAATAGAATAATGCAAAGCATGCGATCACTCGCACGCGATAGTCCAGATGCACTAACTGACCGGTGATATTTAAGGCGCATTTTACTTTGATTTTTATGCTCCTTGCATACCTGCAGCGCAATAATATGCTAAGAATTGATCTTCTTTATAGACTGTCCCATAAAATCTAAGAACTTTTATTCATTTTCCTTCTGCCTTTATGCTTAGAGGCCTAGGTCTACAGAATGGACAGAAATATTTGGGTTTGCGGTCTGAATGTATGCAGAAAATACTAAAAGCATCCCCAAACTGGATTGGTGCAAAATGTATACAGAAATATTCAGAATATCCCAATCTATGCACAGTAATTGAATAATCACTCTTTTTATGGGTAAGATATAGTGAAGACAACTTAACCTACTGATTACATTGCTAATTACACTTTTATTATCTGAGGCACCCTGCTACCGCACACTTCAGGGCAGTTTATGGAATGTTCTCAAAACAGAAGAAACTGCCTAATCAGACACTTCCCACCGTATGAAAATGTTCTTAAAACACCTCTGTCTGTATATGCGCATAACTTCAAAAATAATCCACTCAAATGGGTTTTAAGCCTGGTGGAGTAGTCTATACAAGCACATCTATGCGAAAATGCAAAAACACTTTATGCAAAGCACCATATGCACGGTTTAAGATCCTTAAAACTGACTGAATTCTGTTTGCATGGCTGCGTAAGTCTCCAGTAGCCGCAGAAGGATATACAGTTGAACTACTGTGGCTGCACATGGTTTAGCACCTCTTCAAAGAGAAGCACTTTCTGTAGGATACTTCTTGGTGTAGCTGCAGTTATTTGGTGGACCTGCTTTGGTGCTCCTATCTGAAATTCTGTTATCTCCTCTGTCTGCACGTTTAGGATAAGAACCTCTCTATACCCTATGCACAGATAATATATGTATGGCTCCAGCCTAATAACACTCCCATGCTTTGTGAATATTGGGGCATACTCATGCGCTGTCCTCATGACCACCTTAGGGGATAGGTTTGCCAAAGTAGCAGAGTCAACTGAGATTCCCATGGACTGGTATGCACTGTGATGCAGAGACCCCCTCTGTACAACTCTTCTATCAATGAGGATTGGCCTTTCAGATGATGCAGCTTCCTGCAAAGCTTGGCTTGATTCGTATATGAGGACTTTCATCTCTTCAAGTTCTGCATCTGCAGCTACAACTCTTTTTTTGCTCTTCAGACACTTTGCAGAGATCTCTCCCTTCTGCCAGAGAATGTAAAAGTCATCTATAATGTACACGTACACGGCATCTGTTAGCATCTTAAAGAACTTCCCTTTGTCTGTCAAAATAATCACAACCGGAGTTCTTTTCTTGACAAGGCTCAGGATTGAGTAGCAGAACCCCACAAGCTTTAGGGTTTTTGTGTCAATCGAGGAAAATGGCGTATAAGTCTCCTGTCCTGTTTTTTTGTCTATCTGGTATATGCCCCCCATCTCAGCCCGCATGGAAAATATATTTGCAGCTCCCTCTGACATCGTGACCTTCTCTCCTGTGTACTCAATTTTCCCCAGTTTTGTTGCAATTTGAAAGCTCTTTATTCCCTCCATTGAGACTAGCTTTGGAAAGAAAGACGTGAATATGGGCATGGACAGGGCCTCCTCTGCGGATATCCTTCGATTTGGGTCTTTTTCCAGCATTCTCTCCAAGACTCGGACAATTCCCCCATACTGCTCTGACTTCTTCCCTGTCTCTAGCTTTGCCTTATTATAGTCGCACCGAAATATCAGAAAGTATATAAGCATTCCTGCACTATATATGTCTGTTTTTTTCGTGTACGGCATGCGGTCCATCATCTCCGGGCTTATAAAATCAGGTGTGCCGCAGAATGTCTTTGGTGCGCTGAAAAGAGTGTCTTTCGAGAGACCAAAGTCAATGATCTTCAGATCATTAGTGTCGCTTATCATCACATTCCCAAGTTTTATGTCCCTGTGGATAATTCCAATCCCATGGAGGTATCGCATTCCTACAAGAATATCCCGGAAAATGCGCAGAATCGTCTTATACGGCAGGTTTCCTGTCTTGGCAACAGAGGAAAGAGAGAACTTGCACTTCTCCAGAACAATCAGTGTCTGCGTCTCTGTCTCAACTGTCTCTACTATTTTTATAATATTTGGATGCGAGACTCTCTGCAGGACACGGATCTCATTTGCAGCCAAGTGCAGATTTCTTGTGTTCTGGGAGTCAATCACCTTTATTGCCACTTTTTCCTGCGTCTTTCTGTTTATACCCTCGTATACAACAGAAGTGGCGCCTCGTCCTATTTGCTCTGTAATTGTATACTTGCCAGCCATGCAACTTTCTTCTTAAAAATTCAATACAGTAAATTCGAATATTTTTATTCAACACAAAAAACCCAGCGAGAAAGAAATTCATCCTTTAACTGCCTCAGAGCAGATCCGTGCTCTTTCCACCAGCAGCTTCTGAGCCTTTTCCTTATTCTCATCATTATTTGCCCATAGCTTCAGGACACTATCTTGCAGTGCCCGGCCAAATGAGTACGAAATTGCCCAGGGCGCATTTCTTTCTCTTTTCACGCGGTTGGCTTCTTTTAGGTACTCCACAGAGATGTCTTCTGGGTGGCCGCCACTTAAAAATACCACACCAGGCAGTGCAGGTGGAACAGAGGCCATAAATGCCTGGATGGTTCCATTTGCTACGTCCCCCAGAGACTGTCTCTGCCTTTCCTGCCCTGCGGTGACAAAGCCAACTTTAAGAATAATTCCCGGAATGTACGCGCCCTTTCTGTTCAGGTGGTAGAACAGACAAGAAATGACAGCAGCAGTGACTATCTCGCACTGCACTGCAGAGTGCTCCCCATTGAATAATACTTCTGGCTCTACAACAGGCACCAGATTGTTTTTCTGGCAAATCATTGCGTACTCTGCCAGAATGTTGCAGTTCTTAAAGATGCACTCCTCTGTCGGAAGATCCTGGCAGATTGTAAAGACAGACCGCCACTTTGCAAAGGATGCCCCGCCTTTTCTGTATCTAAGGCACCTTTCATTTAGATCATCCAGGCCTGTGCTGAGCTTCTCTTGGCTTGTATTGTCATTGTTCAGTGGAAGAAGGCCTTTGTCTAGTTTCACTCCAATGCATATTTCTGCCTTTTTCATGTGGGTTGTGAATAGCTCTCCTGCGCTGTCCTTCTGGAAGAAAGTCTCTTCGTTTAGGATTACACCGCCCAGATATTTTTGTATTTCTACAGGCGCAGTTAGCAAGACTTCCCTGTATCTTCTTCTGTTTTCTTCTGTGTTTTCAATCTGCACAGCAGCAAACTTCTTTTCCATTGATGCTGGACTCTCATCTATTGCAAGTATTCCTTTGTTATTCTCAACAAGTCTTAGAGCTGTATTTTTCAGTATTTTTCTATCCTCTTTTTCATTCTCCATCTTGTGTTTTTCTCGGTTCCCCTGAGACATAAATAAGATGCATGGAGAATAAACCAATAAATATGCAAGGAGACTTTACACTTCCTTGTGCGCCTGCCAAAATCCTGGCATGCGTTCTAGACCAATCTAATGGAAGATAGGGGCAATTAGTCAAGTGCCCTGTACGATGCTCTGAATGCCTAGGGTTATATTCCGTCTCTTTTCGCATGCACTTTAATTTGGACAATTATAGCATATCCCAGGGCGGATGCAAAGGATATATTTGAATATTAATCTGATTATGAAATAATCATTAACTGCACGGTGATAAACCTTGCTTAATGAACTGTTTGATTAGATAGATTGAATCACTGTGATTAGTGAGATATAGCAAGAACTTGTTAGATTTACTTTTCTGAGTGCTTTTGTGCTGTCTTGAATATCTTTAAATAAGCTTTCTGCAATAACCCACACCATATTGCATAATGGTTTAATTAAGGATGTACTTGCAAGTGGTCGGGAAGGGCAGAATAAAATAATTAATAACCCAAAATAACCCGAAGCATCACGGGATAGCACAGTATGTTCAGACCAGATATCATGATTTGATATATTTTCAGGTTATTCAGGGTTTGATTACACGCCTTAGTGCTGCATTGTATGCACATGCCTAGCAAGCTGCCTTATCTCCTAATGCATCTAGTGCGGATTGCATTTAAATTAATTCTTCTGATCTCTTGGGATATACGGTCTGGCTGCCTGCTATTTGCACTGATTTCTGGGCTGCACCAGATCTGCGCATCTTGTAAATATTATCTGCAGGCCTGCTCTATTTGTGCAAGATATATGCATATTTCTAAATCTATTTATTCTTTTATTTTGCTATTTTGTTATTTCATGGAGAAAGTGCAGGAGACCATAGAGCAAATAAACAGAGCCACTTTGAAGACTACAAAAGATGCCCTTCGGCCATTGTACGATATTATCTCGTCTGTAAGCACAGAGGAATTGATTAGCGAATTAGATGCCCATTCCTCTGGCCCTTCAAGATATCTTTTGCTGCTGTTTGTGAGCATGTCATACATCTACAAAGAAGAGTATGAGCAAGCTCTGGATACTTCAATGAATAGCATAGCAGAAATCACAAAAGAAAGCAGCAGGATACTAGATAGCGTGCTAGCAGGCCTGTGGACTGCAGCCAGAATATCCTCAACGCACCTAAGAAGAGACATTCTTTCAGAGTACTTGCTTGGACTGGCAGCTGCCCGGGAGTACCAGAATGTGGAGACAATCACAGTAATTATAAATAATATTCTGATGGATTTGCAGAAGAAGCAGCTGTACGATGAGGCGCACACCTTCCTTACAGGAATAAGCCTGCCCGATGAGGCAGATGTAGGACAGTCTTCAGTGTTCTACTATCTGGCAAGCATAGTCTATCTGATGGCAGAAGACTACAGTGCCTCAGAGCAGGCAATCAACAAGGCAATTGTAAAGAGCACAGACTCTGTATTTACAGACGAGTGCCGAAAGGCCTATGTTGTGGCATGTCTGCACCAGGGAAAGCACCCAAGCAGAGACTTCTTTGTGGAAAACCCAAAGCTAAAGGCGTATCTGCAGATTCTTCTGGCAATAAAGTCGTGCTCTTTGGAGAAGTTCCACGAGGCTGTGGCAGAGGAGGAGCAGACTCTGAGGAGGGATGGCTTATACCACGCTGTGCTGCGCCTGGAGACGGCTGTCCAAAAGGAGCAGGTGCGCCGAATTGGCGTGGTCTACACGAAGATTCTTCTTAGCTCAGTTGGAGAGATGCTTGGTGTCTCTGAGGAGAGTGCTGCATTTCTGCTGCAAAACTCAATTGAAGAGGGCGCCATTGCAGGATATATTGATACAGATATGAAGGAGTACGTGGGCATGGAGAGAAGAGATGAGAGAAATAACACGCTAAAGATTGAGGACATGCTGAGCGTAGCAAATAGTCTGGCAATGATAAAGAAGCATGAGCCAGTGAAGAAGAAAACATTGGAAGAGCTGCAGGCTGACATGACATATAATGAATATAGAATATAGTCCTATTCCTTAGGCAGACGCAAATAAACTCAAGCTATGCCTTTAGAAATATTTTACATTTTACAGAAAGTCCTTTGATACGGGTAGGTCTAGTCAGATTCCTGTGGGTTGCAGGTCACCATGAAAATAGACTCTTGTTAAGATGAATTTAAAGCATCACGGGCTCTGAATATTTTGGGGTCAAATTATTTCTCTGCAAATGAAAGTCTTCAGGGGGCACATAAGAATAGTAGAATTTCAGTTTTCCATAAAATAACGCAGAAGAAAATGTAGATATGAAATGCAGTGAGGCCCTAAGATATAAAAAGGCAGATTAATTGACACGCCCTAAATGAATGCAACGTAGACAGCAGAAAATAATTCACTACTATTTGTATAAATACTATCTTGTGAGATCTGGCTAGAAGGAGTTTAAAATGAATTGATTCTGAGAGATATGCAGATGCCTTCTTGCCATGCTTAGTGGAGTGAGGCAAGGTGTCAGCATGCGGTCTATTTTCTTCTTGGCAGTTATTATGGAAGTGGCTGCTAAAATTTTTTAATGAATAGACTTGCACTGAGCTCAGTATATGGCTCTTCAACTGCAACTGTTTCTGCGTACAACGAGAAAACGGGAGAGCTCTTCGTGGGCGTGGATCGAGTCATAAAAAAGACAAAGATAAGGAGTGGGTTAGCGACTGTGCTAAAGCTAGAGACAGAGAGACAGATTAAAAGCATCTCGATTGACAAAGACCTTCTTCTGGCGCTTGATGTAGAGGGAAGAGTATACTTATACAACCTAGCGTACAACGTAGAAATAGGAAGGATGCTTAATAAGGAGTGTCACACTGCGTGCGTGCTAAACGGGAAGATTCACCTTGAGTTTATGGGATACTTGCAAGTGTGGGTGGTTGAGGAGAACGGCTTCTTCACATTTAGAAAAGAGAAGCACATAACAGGCCACCAAGACAATATAATTCTAATGGAAAGAACAGAGGAAGGCCTTTTGACAGGATCCAAGGACGGAGTACTGCGGCTGTTCTCCTCAGAAGACAGCTCTTCCGAGACAGTAGCAAGAAACAAATCGCACCCTCTGTGTGCACGCAAAGTGGGCCAGGAGATATCTGCAGTCTGGGCATCAGGAGAAATAACCAAACTTATCCAAGTGGAAGATGCATGGACACCAATCCAGAAGAAGTATACAATGCACAACCTGCTGGATGCAGCAATTTCAACATACGGGGATATGGCAGTTCTTCTGGACACAAGCCACAATGTATTACTGTACAGCACAACAGGCGACACAAAAGAGCCTATCCAGAAGATCTTTGTGTCTGATGGGATAAAGCACGTGCAGTTTGTGGAGGAAGATGAGTGGATTATTCTGTCAGGAAATGGCTCAGTTATCTGGGAGTGGAAAACAAACACACTTTTGTTTAACGAGCAGGCATCTTCAGGACAAACAGTAGCCCGGGATATTGAAGGATCTGTTGTCTCTGGAACTGTATCCGGAGATGTTTTCATGTGGGACAAAGGGTCTTCTCTTTGCCTGAAAAAAATAGCAGCCCACAGCTCTGCAGTCTCTGCCATTATTCCAACTGAAAGAGGATTCATCTCTGTCTCTGCAAATGGAGAGTGCAAGGTCCATAAGGCAACTGGCACAGTTATTAAGCAGATATCAGCAGAGATTCCTTTGCTTGTGGCAGATGCGGATGAAGATATCTTGGCAGTGGCAGGACCTGGGAAAATGCACACATACGACATAAAAAGAAGCAAGCTCATACAGGAGTACGACATAGATATGCCGCTTGCAATTAAAATGATGCAAAACGGGGTTCTCCTGATCTCCATGCAAGGAATCACAACGTACTCACCAGACTCTGTCTCTGGGAAGGACGGACCAGAGCAGTTTGTGAACGCATCTATCTCAGAGACAAAGGACGGGCTAAAGATATCCTGCCTGGGCGAGAGCGGCATGGTATACACGTACAACCATGAGATGGAAGAGCTTGTGGAGTACAGAGCCCTGCCAAAGTACACAAATGGCATGGGAAAGAACACTCCACTGGGCATGGTTCACACAGAAAATGCAGAGTTAATTATAACGTACAAGACAGCCAGGCCAGACAAAGTATCCACATTCCGTGAAACCATCTTTGCATCTATGTTCTATAATGGACAGGAAATAGACAAGTGGAAGGTGGCAGAGCACGCCCTTAGCTCTTCAGGCTATCTGTTCACGCAGGTTTCTGCATTCGGCGCACTAATTGGAATATGCACAGAGTCAGGGCTATATCTATTCTCATCCGCTGAGACAGGCATGAACTCTCTTGGTGCATGGCAGAAGGAAACCCCTCAAGAAGTCTCCCAGCAAATTGAAAAGGGCGATGTTCTTTCCGGGCTAATAGGGGCCATTGCCCTGCAGAGCCCATCCCTTGTGCACATGGCTCTTTCATCTGGTGATCCAGTTGTGCTTGCAAAGTATCTTCCGTCTGAACTGGCTCTTCAGTCAGTTTCTGTTGTGCTCTCTGCCATGTCAAATGGTCTTGTTGAAAGGGCACTTATGTTCCTTGAAGAAATACTTAAGAAAATACCTGTGAGTAGCGTACTTAGAAGACAGATAATTCTGATCCTTTCTTCCGTAATTAATACTTCCCATGAAACCACAGGATACGCAGATGCACTTGTGACCTTCCCACATCTTGCACTCAAAGAAATAGAAGAATAAATATGCGCACATAAATACTCCAAATTAGCAAGGATCCCTATACTTCTTATTATACTAGTAGATTTAATACCACAAAAAAGTACTTATAAGTGATACTCTTCACCATAAAAGAGTGAAATTTGCATGGAAATTAATGCACTTTAACAGATGCATAATAATTGCATAGCCAAATAAACAGATAGGAAATATGTCAGGTGGCTCTTATTTGATAACTCTTTGGAAGACTCTTTATATAAAGTTTCTTAAAATTAGAATTTTATTTAATTCTTCTGCAAGTCTCTCTATAGTAATAATTTTAAATAAATTTCTGTCTTTTTTTTGCAGCAAAAAATTCTATTATTTCAAAAAAGTGCACTCTAAAGCCTTCTAGAAGAAATTCCATAAGAATGACTAGGCTTTCTAATATTTACTTCCAGTATGCACAGAAACCATAAGGATAAAATATTCAAAATTAAGCTTTATTATTAGTATCTAATTTCTAAACACTCCAAAAATAAGTGCCATTTCGAATGATCAGTTTGATATTTTTTGTTGTTTCCCATATCTTTGTAAGACTCTTGGAAATTTCTGCATATAAAATTAGAATCATATTTTTAATAGTAGGAGAATAAACGTATCCTAAAATAAGAAATATAACTGTTAAGATAATTGTAGCCAACAGTATCCCTAATAGTGTAAGACAGGACCTACTTATAAATCTACCAAAGCAAGAAAAGAATCGTACAAAAAAGTTCTTTTTGCTTGGTTCTGTTTTATTCTTCTCTAGCATTGGATATTTCTCAGTAGACTCTTCATTTTGGGAACTTTCTTCATACACCCAGTCATGGCCTCCTTCGGCTGTATCTAGATAACTATTCATTGTTTTTTGAATTCAAAACTTGTTTTATTTATATCTTCCATGTTTTTAAATTAATTTTCATCTAAACAACTCAAACTGATATTTTTCTTAAAACTATATAATATTTCGACTTTATATGTTTAAGTTTGATGCTTCTAATTAAAAACAAAACAAATTAGAAATTACCAATTTAGATTCAAAACTATTCGTAAACGCTGCGTTTTTCTCCTAAATAAAAGGCATAGTTTATAAATAGCTGGTGTTCTTTGAAATTTTAGACTCACTGCATACAGAATGTGGTATTTTAAGGAATTGTGGTTTTTCTTTAAAGGCTTCTTGTTATTACAGAGGGTAAAATAGAATGGTAGCTATGAAGAAATCTTCTTTTCTTCAGGATTAGACTCATAGTATAAAGACAAATACAATTTTACAAGGACTAAGACACGGCAGATGCATTGAGGCAGACCCAGTGCAAGTTCACTTGTCAAAAATATTCTACTACAGCAATAAAAGCTCTTTACTTAGCAAGATTTTATTCTTATTGAATTGTCATTTCCAGGCTGTAATACATTCTCCTATATGAAATGCAAATATTATTTATCTCTTACCCTTTAGTCATAGGAATTCTTCTATTGCATTTATGAATAATAATTCATTCTTAGACTAAACAAACAAGAATTTAAGTCGTCATGTGGTCTAGTATAAATAAAAAAGTTTCCAGTATAACTGGCTTGGGAAAAGAAGCCAACAGCAACAAAATACTTTCAAGATTAAGCTTTATTTCTTCAAAAACCTGTGTATTCCTAGAACCCTTCAGTTTTATTCTTTTCTAGTTAAGTCTTGCAGAGGTTCTGAGAAATTATACTAATAGTTGACTGTCCATACTTAAATACCCATTTAAAGAATCTTCTGCATTAGGGATATTCAAACTAGAATTATTTTTACAGATGACAAAAACAAGAAAAACAAGAATACAGCAAAACACTAGAGAGTAACCAATCATTTTATGCCTATTCCATAAGCGACCATCATCTGGTTGCACATAATAATTATCGTATGGAGTAGATTGGTCTCTAGTATTCTCCTCTATTAGTGCTCTTTCTAGAATTTCTATAGAATGACTGTCTGGTTGCAAATAATAATTATCGTATGGAGTAGCTTGGTCTCTAGTATTTTCTTCTCTCTGGATTGTTTGTTTTATAGGATTTTTATATTCAGCAAATGCAGAGTATCCTATAAGTCTTGTATTTCCTGTAGATTCTGTGTATAAATTGTTTAGTTGCATAAAACCAGCTTCACATGGAGTAGATTGAGTTGGTTTGGCTGTTTCTTCTCTTAGAAATATTAGCTTTAGAGTATTTTTAATTGGCATAGGTTTTATAATCTGAATATCTTCTACATTTACTACAGGTTTTTCAGCTTCTATATGTTTTATATGTATATTAGAATCAATAGACGGGTTGCCGTCCATATATACACTATTTTCTTGAGCTTTAGTGTCTTTTTTAGAATTTTTGGGCTCTTTAGTCGCAGAGGCTTTAGTATTCGAAATGGAGTCTAAGTTGGATCTATGGTTGCCAGATTTTTCTTTCAGTTTGTATACAATTGTATCTTTCATATTTCTTAAGAAGCATCTCTATTTAACATTTAACCACTTAAAAGTGATAAATTGCTTTAGTTAAAAACACATTAATTAAAAAAACCAATTAAAATGGCTGTTGACTTTTCTTTTTTCAAGCACATGAATTCATTTTCTCCCCGGTTCAGCAGTATATATTAATATTAGTCATTGCCTTTCGGGTTATCGGGTTTTCACTGTAGACTATCCTGCTATAAATGGCTCTATTTGTTTACGCGTCTTGAGTTTGGTGATCTGAGTTTGTTGACACCACATATCACTCTGGCATCATCTGTCATTTTATTCATATTAATTAGAATAGCACTGATCTGCAGCTGTCACCAGAAACTATATATATGGCAAGAAATAAACTACATCCAGCTCAGTACGACTAACTCTAATGGTTCAAGAGGAAAGGCTTAGCTCTGTCTAAATTAATAGGAAAGTTAATAAAAATATTAACACCACAGCCTAATACGTAAACAAATAAAAACATTTAATTAAAAAGAAAATTTAAAAAATATGCATAATTCAAATAGAAGATACGAGTATACTTCAGTATCCCTTAATAATTCACACTCTCCTGCTGTAAGTAGTAAGAAAACTAGTAAGTCTGGATGGAAGCTTGATTTAAAAAACAGACTATCCAATAACCGCTGGATTATACTTATTCTTTTACCACTTATAGTCCCAATTTGTGTATTAATTGCATACATAGTTTTTTACAAAGACGAAATTATCCTTTACCATCTAAAACAGACTATATCATTGGGACTTCGGCACATTTCTTCCATGTCAAAGAAATCGCTTGATGTTTTTATCCGGAGAAGAAAGTATAATTAGAGTTTTCTATTGTCTTTTCGAACTTAAATAGACGATAATACACTATAAAGGACTCTGTTTGTTCATATGGCAGTGACCTGGTAGAATTAGCTGGTAAATACTTTTATCACAGCCAACAATTCAAATAAAATACTCAACTGAGTTATTTCAAATAGAAGTTAATCTTTTCATGTTTCTTACAGCTAAAGTTCAGTTATTATACAGCAAGTTTAAACCATAATTCTGAAAACCTCTCAGAAGCCTATCAGACTGTACGATTGGATATTCGAAATATTCTACAGAAAAGCTTCATAGTCCTAGATGTATATTTGTATTATAGTAGATATGCTTAGATATAAAAGTACGTTATTAATTTTAAATGAGTTTTATTTTTAGTTTTCTTAATTTACAACATGCAGTAGTATTTGAATTTTCAATTTATTTGTGGAATAAACAAACTCTCTTTAATGGTTGAATTAAAAGCTTATTTGAAAAGTAAGAATTGCTTAAGTAGAGATGAATATTATGGCGAGATTACTGCTTATTAAGCCTAAGACCATGGGGTTTTTGATATAACCTGAATTTCTGGATAATCTGCGAATCAGAAGAAAACTATATAATTGCAAGAGAATATTTAAAAAAAGAAGCGAATGCAAATTACCAAAAACAACTAAAGTACAAATAGTAATAGTACATTGAGATATCTGTAAGAATATACGGATAAAACTCCCTTGTTAATAATTCTATCTAGTATAAACTATTTCCTCCTGGCTGAAACTCTCTTTCTTCTTGAGCATGTCACATATTCTTTGCATAATGAATAAGCTCTGAAATATTTTGGTTGTAATAAAATTGAGGATTTTAAAGCATAAAAAGAAGAATTACTGCATGAACTAGAGAAAAAGAAGTAATTACTGCTACAGTTTTGGAAATGGCTTACGAAGCACTCAATAGTACTATACTATATTAAGCTAATTATAATTGAATTTTTATGTTGTCTGTATATTCAGGCTATATATTTGGATACTCTCATTTGGTATATGCACTAGGCCTCTCTGGTTTTGCCATATTTCAAAATATGTCTCTTCAGGTTATAATATTCGCAATAGAAAAACAAAAGTATGTTATACTACTACTTTTAAAAGAGCTTAAACCTAGATTTGTTGTTAATTAATGTACTTTTAATTAGTGTGTTGTTAATTAATGTATTTTTAATTAGTTTTGTTGTTAATTAGTGTGTTGTTAACTAAAGCAATTTATCACTTTTAAGTGGTTAAATAGAGATGCTTCTTGAGAAATATGGAAGATACAAAAGGCGATAGACCCACTTCAGTCTCTTATTCAAAATTGAATTTAGAATATATAGATGCTGCTTCTGTGAAAAATATAGATGAAGTAATCTCAATTAATGATCAAGTAGAAGAAATCTCCCTAAATAGTAACTATTCGAAGCAATCAAAAAATCTTCTATAGAAACTATAGTACTGGAAGAAGAAAATATTAGAGACCAAACTGAAAATAATGTTATTCAAGCAAGGGATGCAGAAAAAAGTTTTAAATACTTTGTGTTTGGCTTAGTTTGTTCTATTCTTGTTTTTCTTGTTTTTGCCATCTATAAAAATAATTCTAGTTTGAATATCCCTAATGCAGAAGATTCTTTAAATGGGTATTTAAGTATGGACAGTCAACTATTAGTATAATTTCTCAGAACCTCTGCAAGACTTAACTAGAAAAGAATAAAACTGAAGGGTTCTAGGAATACACAGGTTTTGAAGAAATAAAGCTTAATCTTGAAAGTATTTTGTTGCTGTTGGATTCTTTTCCCAAGCCAGTTATACTGGAAACTTAGTTTTCCTCTTCAAAATATTAGACTTAGTCATACTAAACTTAAATGTAATTTATTTTTCATTTTCCATTCATAGGCGGCAAAGAGAAATTTATCAAAGTGATGCCATGAAAGTATAATCTTATTAGATAACTTAAGGAAAATAACAATATATTACCTGTTTAATCATTTGATTGCAGAGACAATAAATAAGAAGAGGTTCTTATATAGTATTGTCCTACAGTAAAAACCCAGAAGGCAAAGACCAGCACCAACCTACATTTCTAGCCCAGAGAACACTTCATGCTCCCAAGGCAAGGAAAACCAACAGAGAGAATTACTTTCACTTTCTCACAGGAATTAGAACTGTTAGAGCAGGAGGAGTTTAATTTGTTAAATTCTATAAAACTAGCCTGTTGTTAGTGTAAGGCACTGTGAATGTTTCTATCCTTCTTGTCATGGTAATGGTAGATTTTAATACATGCAACTGTATCTCGATGGCGGCGTATCACAGCAACTATCTCGACTGTTATATCTTGATGGCGGCGTATCACAGCAACTATCTCGACTGTTATATCTCGATGATGGTATGTCACAGCAACTATCT